TTACTGTGACTAAGAAATAATGCCAGAATCTTCTGGCCATAGATAGGAATGTTTTTTATTACATGTTAAAGAAACAACTCTGGGACAGTAGCTTGATGAGAAATATTTTCTTAATCCTCACCAGTCAGTGCTTTGAACTGATGATACCAACTCACACTATCAGGCATGTTCTAGAGCTAATTGCACTGGCCTGTGGGAGTCGATTGTTAAATATTCAGGACTTTTGTAAGTCTACAACTGTTGTCAGCTTGTAATTATTTGCATCGCAACAACATGGACCAAGAAGTCTGGCAGGCATTACAAACTGGAGTTCTTCCCACCCAGTCAGTTTCCCCGAATACCTCTTCATCAAGGATCCAGGAAACAGGATCTACCACTGAATTAAGCAAGTATTGTATCTTCTCTGAGGAGCAGAACCAGAAACCTATCAGCCAATTTGTAAAGCCAAATAATCAAGCCCTATGCACATATCAAAAAGCCTAGAAATAGCCAGTGTTGATTGGGGGGAGGGGGAAAGTGTGGTCGAATCATCCACTTAGGTGGGAATTTCATCAGGTTAAACCCCTATGGAAAGCAATATAATGTTCCATCCAAAATATAAGAACTGAACTACCATATGACCCAATGACACCACTTCTTGGCATCTATCCCAAAAATACAAAAAAATTAATTCAAAAGGATATATGCACACATGTTCATCACCACACTTACCTCAATAGCTAAGATATGGATATAACCCAAATGCTCAAATACAGATGAATGGATCAAGAAGTTGTGAATGGAATCTAAACAGCTCTAAAAAAGTACAAAATCATGCAATTTACATGAATGGAACTAGAGGATACTGAGTGAAATCAACAAACAATGATGCTGTATAATCTCCCTCTTATGTGGGACTTAAAGATGCATAGCAATGTATTTAGTCACAAAGAAGCACAGGCAGTATAACAGGAGAACTAATCCATATATTTGAGTTGGTGAGGGCTGAAAGGGAGGAGCATTTAGATCCTTGGGGCAGGGAGAGGAGTACACTGGTGATGGGTGTGATGTTAGAATTAAATGCATGAAAAAAACATTATTATCAGTACTATAAACAAGGACTCTCAATCAGTCAAAAATGTTAATAAAAAGGAAAATAAAAAATAGATTAAAAAGGTTTCATAGTAAAATACATATATATATATATATTTATGAAATTTGGGCCAATGTTTCCAAAATCTTCTCATAAGACTGGTTTTACAACTGGATTTTTTTAAAAGGTGTAACATTTTGTAATTCAGTATTAAAGGGAACACTAATAGAAAAAATAAAGCCCTATGTTTCTAATTTATTATCATTTTTTCCGCCTTTCCCTCCCATTGTTGTTGCTGGTATTTTGATGACTGGAGAGTAGATGCTGGGTTGCTGGACTCATCAATTTGGCTGAGTTGCTCTCACTCTAGATGGTGGTGCTCAGCTGGGCAGGACATTCCATTTCTATGCTTACTGAGGGTCTTATACATAGTTGTGGTGCTCACTAGCACCTGGTCAATGGGTACTAGAAAATGCACCTAGGTGGGTGTGGAGAATTACACTCATCATAGGACATTACCCGGGATCTAACTCACAACCTCAGGAATGCAAGGCAGGTGTTATCTCAGAGTCACCGTTGAACCCTTGTGATTGTCAATCCTAGAGAAACTTTCTCCAAATTTATAATTCCTTTTTTTTGTTGGTTATTTTTGGGGGGGGGGGTGGCACACCCAGTGAAGTTCATGGCTTACTCCTGGCTCTGAGCTCAATGATCACTTTTAGAAGAACACTGGGGACTACATAGGGTGCCCAGGATTAAACCTGAATCATTTACCTGCAAAGCAAATACCTTATCTCCTCTACTATCTCTCAAGTCCCAAATTTATAATTTTACATGTTTCCGATTGACATGGCTAAAAATACTCTGCCCTTTTATTTGGCTTAGGGAGTGAAAGAACAGGGAGACTTTTACTCACCCAGGACTAGAGTGTAGGATATCAAGAACGTGAAAAACTATTATGAGTAATGGCATGAAAGAGGAGGGATTGTTTCTCTCATATATAAATATAGGTCAGAGTCTTCAGTAATGATCACTGAAATGTTAATTCAATTCAATTCAACTTGACAAACATTTACAAACAATAAGTGTTTTGTTGAATTGAATTGAAATGTTAACATTTATCCTCCTGTGATATTTCTCTGCAAAAATTAGAACATATCGTTAGACTATAAATTAAATTCTACCCTGAGAGGAATGTTAATTTTATAATAAATACAATCATTAAACATTCACATCTAACCTTATTTCAAGACACCTGTCACTAAGTTACTTAGCATCTTAGATAAAATAATGCAGAAATTCTCTCATGCTTGAAGAGTATGAAAAAAATGTAAAAATGGGAATAGAACTTTTTGAACTTGTAATTTAATTAAGCAGGCAGCTATAAATATTTGTGGAAGATAGTTGTATTTCTTCACCTGGGTAGTCATTTTCCTACTTTGGATGTAGGCACTTTACCCAGATTTCTAATCAAGGCACATTCCTTGCCGAGTTTTACTAGATTAGAGAAGGAATCAGTCTCCTGGTCTGCGTACTTTGGCCAGTACATGACTCAGCATGCCAATGAGTGTCATATTTCCCTGGCAACAGTGACTGAGAGATGAACATTTGCCTCACTCAGAAATCATTAAAACTTCCTGGGATTGTTGAGAGAAGAGCATGTTCTCTTTTTGATCCTAAAATTGAATCTGAAATGATAGAAATTAGCCACTTTTAGAAGCTGCCTTCGTACATGAGAATAAGCCCCATATTAAGGAGACTATATCTAAAGATGGAGAGAAATTAAACCGGTAATATTCAGTCCCTAGATTTGGTTATTCCATAAGTCATCAGGATACTAGCTTATAACTAACCTGAGTATCACCTTTCCTTGTTTAATTAAGGTTTCAATCACCATCAAAACAACCCTAATAGATTCTAATATTTACATGATTTTCAAACTATTTTCACCCAAAGCTGAATTTTTAACCATCTTTCAAGAGCAATCTACATATAACTATTATTATAGTCAAGTCCTCTGTCATTTAATTGTGCCAAACACACTTTCTTGCTTTCAAGCAGGGGACTTTACCAAGTGGTTTGCTTTGTCCATCAGGATGCTAGTCAAAATGATATAATCAGGGGAGTGATATGGGATTGTCTCTAAGGGACTCTATTATTGATTCACAAGAAAACGGTATGGGTACGTCTCAAAAAATTAGAAATTGAGCTTCCATTTTATCTAGCAATACCACTTCAGGGAATATATCCCATAGAGGCAAAAAAGTGTAGTCGAAGTGACATCTGCACTTGTTTGTTCATTGCAGCACTGTTTACAATAGTAGAATCTGGAAAAAACCTGAGTGCCTGAGAACAGATGACTGGTTAAAGAAACTTTGGTACATCTACACAATGGAGTACTATGTAGCTGTTAGGAAAGATGAAGTCATGAAATTTACATACAAGTGGTATTACATGAAAAATATCATGCTAAGCGAAATGAGTCAGAAAGAGTGGGACAGACATAGAAAGATTGCATTCATCTGGGGAACATAAAGTAACAAAATAGGAGACTGAAACCCAAGAATACCCGAGATAAGTACCAGGAGGTTTACACCATGGCTTGTAGGCGAGCCTCACATGCTAGGGAAAAAGGCAGCTCAGATAGAGAATGGAGCACCTAATAAAGGGTATTGGGAGGATCCTCCAAGTATGGGAGATGCATGCTGAAAGTAGACTATAGACCGAACATGATTGCCACTCAATGTCTCTTTTGCAAACCACAGTACCTGAAAGGAGAGAAAGAACAAAAGGTAATGCCCTGCTACAGAGGCAAAGTGGGATGAGTTAAATTGGGGGTGGTAGGGATATTGGTATCAGTGGTGGGCACCAGTGAATGGGCACTGGTGGAGGGATTGGTACACGATCATCATATGAAACCCAAGCACAAATATTTGTAAGTCTACAACTGTACCTCATGTGATTCACTAATAAATTTTTTTTTAAAAAAGGAAAAAGTTTAATAGCAAGAAAATTAACCCTATAATTTAAGTTCAACATGTCATATTTGGAATTAAATGGCTGTGGCTTGCTCATTGGCATCCGTGGATCCTGACATTGGGTCAGGATCTAGTAGTAAGTGTTTTGCACTAGAGCTCAACTGAAATCAGTTTCCAAAACTTTTTCTCTCATGATATGACAAGGAGAAGAATAATGACCTCTTCAAGATACTTTGATCTTCATTCCCTTATGCTAGTTTCACAGTCTCTCTGGCAAGTTTTGTCATGTTCTTGAGTTCTCCAAGATTTACTGTTTAGTTATTTGGGCTTGGTGTTCCTTCCAAATGGTTCATCTTTCCCCACCTCTCATCAATCAGTCTTAGTTAAATTATACTTCCTCCAGGAAGACTTTGTCAAGACCACCTGAATAACATCCTAAGGAAACCTCCTTTGTGATCCTGGAGCATCATGTACCTACAATTATCAAAAGGTAAGTTTCGCTATGTTTTTTTTTGTTTTGTTTTCATCCTCAAGTATACCTCCAGGATCCTAGAAGGTAGGTGTTAGGACTGCTTGGTTCACAATTTCCAACCCATCATTGGTGCTGAAAGAGTAACTACTACATGATGGGGGCTGGAGTGATAGTACAGAGGGTAGGGGTTTTGTCTTGCATGCAGACAACTGGAGTTCAATCCCTGGTATCCCGTATGGTTCTTTGAGCACCAACAGTAGTAAATCCTGAGTGCAGCCAGGAGTAACCCCTGAACATCACCAGATGTGACTCAAAGTAAAAAACACACACACACACACACACACACAAAAAGAATAACTACTAAATGAAGAAGAAAGACATAAGTGGAAGAACATGCATGCATAGGCATGAAAATTTTACTTTCATTGAGTACTTTGGATACAAGGGGATGGACACAGACACTCACACACACATTTACCTAGCTAAAGCAAGTGCACGATTCATTCTTTCTTCAAGGCCTAATGTTCCCAGGGCCTTCCAAGTCATCCAGAACTTGAATGCATCTGGTCTTCGGCTACACTGGATAGACTTGTCTCCTGTGTCATAGCTGACGTCATAGAATTTATCCTGCTGGAACAGGTAGGATGCATTGGCAGAGTAGCACTTCTTAAGAAGATCCTTAAAAAGAAATAAAGAAGTTTCCATTTTCAGGTTACTCTAGACTTCAAAAACACATACCCACAAACAGAAGTTAAGATATTCTAATTTGTGACATGGTTATTTGCTCTCAATTTGTGACTTTCCTAAATAAGAAGGAATGGGTATATATAAAGACACATATTACCAGCTAAGAGACAGATTACCTAATGGTTCTTTACTAAAACCCTTATAGCTAAGAATAATAAATCCATCATCACGGTTTCAACGATGAGAATTGAAGAACTGTGAGGCTACCATGCTACCATTAGTATGACACCATGGCAGACCACATACTCAAGAGAGAAAAGCATCTTAATAAACTCAAGACTCCATATTGGGAAGGGAGGGGTAATATTGTAATACTTTAAATAATTTCATAGACAGAAAACTAGGCTTTAAATCCTCTTCTAATTTTTATTATACTTTAATTTGAGGGGGCTGGGGAGTCACATCCAGGAGTGCATACGGCTCACTCCTGGTTTTATAGTTAGGGATCACTCGTGGTGGAACTCAGGGGCCATATGAGGTACTGGGCATGCAACACAGATTGACTGTGTTCAAGGTAAATGTCCTATCTGCTGTACAATTGCTCTGGCCCCCTAATCTCTTTTCCTTTCAACTCGAATCCATATTAAAATTAAAAAAGTCATCAAATTTTCTTAAATAACTTTCTTTATTGCTGTAACATTGGTTTTTAAAGTTGTACATGTTTTAGAAAGACTGTTTTATGCCACCTTTCTCAATAAAGAGACAATATCCTCCACCACCTAATTATTTCACCAAAACTCTTCAGTGCCACCCTCAAAAATGTCATGCAATGGGAAGGAATGGGAGTGAAGATAGATGGTCAGCAACTACACCACCTCTGCTTTGCTGATGACATCGTTCTAATAACACCAAATATCAGCCAAGCAGCACAAATGCTGACTGATTTCGACCATGAGTGTGGAAAGGTCAGATTATAGCTGAATCTCACAAAGACAATGTTCATGAGAAACAGTCTTGTTCCTGACGTTCCATTCACTCTCAATAGAATGAACATCTTTGAATGCAACAGGTATATGTACCTAGGTCGAGAAGTCAATATGATGAATGACCTGGCACCTGAGTTGTGTAGGAGGAAGAGAGCAGCTTGAAACACCTTCAAGAGCATTGAAGAAATAGCTAAGAGAATGAAGAACCTCCAGCTCCAAGCACATCTCTTTGATTCCACTGTTCTTCCTGCATTAGCATACGCCTCAGAGACTTAGGCCCTACAAAAACAGGATGAGAACGCTATTTGGGTCTCTCAAAGAGGAATTGAAAGAGCTTTGCTTGGAGTATCACGCTTCACTCAAATGAGAGAAAGAATCCGGAGTTCTGATCTCTGTCAACTTTCAAGAATCAGGGATGCTGTCTTGTTTGCGAAGGCATCGAAAATCAGATGGGTTGGACACATAATGAGATTTAGAGATGACCGCTGGACTAGAGCCATTACTGACTGGATTTCACAGGACGTCAAAAGATCATGTGGACGCCCATCTATGAGATGGTCAGACTTCTTCATCAAGACCCTGAACGATCGGTTTGAGGCTCTTCATGTTTCTAGAATGAGCAGATGCCATTGGGCTACACTAGCACGCAACAGGGATGAATGGAGACGGTACTGGCTCCGGCTTGAGCAAATCTATGAGTAACATGATATCAAGTGATCAAGTGATCCTCCACCACAGTCAACTAGTTCCTTTCATCCCACTCCCCACTGGTAATGTCCATTTTGTTGTCATTCTAAGGATTTTAAAAATCCTTTTTTTCTGGGAGAGTATGGGGAGAGATTCACATCCCGCAGTGATCAGAGGATACTCTAGGCATATTATTCAAGGATATAGCACACGGATGCTTCATGTGGTACTGGGAATCAAACTCAGGCCACCACTATGCAAAGAATATGCTCTAGTCCTTTAAATGTCTCTCCTGCCCTGTACTGTTTCTCTATATATTGCATACAAATGAGATCACCTAGTACTTATCCTATTCCTGACTTATTTTTCTGAACACAATCCCCTCCAGTCCCACTCAAGCTATAGTAAAAGCTATCCTTTTGCTGTTATCCTTTTTGCTCATGGCTGAATTTTCTATTGTGTGTAGATACATTTTCTTGTCCGCTCATATGTTGTTTGGCACTTATTTTGTTTCCAGAACTTGGTTACTTTAAATAGTGCTACTTGCATGTGGGCTGGAGCAATAGCACAGCAGGTAAGGCGTTTGCCTTGCACGCAGCAGACCTGGGTTCGATTCCTCCACCCCTCTCGGAGAGCCCAGCAAGCTACCAATTATCTCGCCTGCAAGGCAGCTTCCTCTGATGTAATCGGTATGCCAAAAACAGTAACAACAAGTCTCACAATTTGTTGTGAGATGTAATTGGTGCCCACTCGAGCAAATTGATGAACAATGGGAGGACAGTGCTACAATGCTACTTGAATATATCTTTTTGAATTAGTATTTTTGTATTTCTGGGATAGACACTAAGGAGTGAAATTACTAGGTCAAATGGTAGTCCTACTATAACATATATAGCATTCTCCATATTGTTTTCCACAGAGACTGAACCACTCCACAATGTCAGCTGTAAATAAGCCCCCCCGCTCCCCCCCCCCCCGACACACACACCAAACCCCATCCAGCACTGGTCCTTTCTGGCCTCTTTGACATAAAACATCCACAAAAATGTGAAGTGACATCTTGCTGTTGTTTACATTGATATTTCTCTGATAATCAGTGAAAATGAACACTTTTTCACATCTATGTGTCTTCTTAGGAGTGGCTTCTATTCAGCCTTTCTTATTAGTGGATTGCTTGTATTATTAAAGTTTTCTGAGTGCTCTCTGTGCCTTGAACTTTAGCCCTTTGACAGATACAGGATGTGAAAAGACATTTTCTCCCATTCAGAGCAATGTCCATGTTTTTGTTAATAGTTCTTTTCATGATGCTGGAGTTCTTTAATTTGATTTACTCCCATTTGTTTTTGTTTCCCCTGCTGTTAAATTCTAAACATTGAAGGCACCACTGAAGTCAATACCATGGACTATTTGGATTAATCCTTTTGAATTAACTTTCGCACATGGTATAAGACAGTGTTCTAATTTCATCCTTTCATGTTTTCCCAGTACCATTTTTTGAAGCCTTTCCTTTATCCACTTTATGCTCTTTGCACCTTTGTTGTAAATTAACAGCCCACATATCTGAGGGTTTATTACTGGGCTCTCAAGAATCAACAAGTTTTAAGCACCATAAAACATCAGTTGAAATTACAAAGGGAATTTTGGAGTTAGACTCACATATTTGCAGCCAAAGCAGGTTTTGTACTTACTGGCAGTTACTTCTAAGAAGTAGGTGACAATAACACTGTTACCTTTCTAGAATCTTCACTTAGACCTCAAAGGATTAGAGTTTAAGTCCTATCATACTGAAAGCTACCTGGTTTCTACAAAATCTCAGTATCCTTACCTGTCCTTCACAGCTTCTGCTAATCCCTGAGCATAGATGGGTATCAGAGAATACCCATTACATTTCTCAGCTGCACAACATAACCAAACTACTCAACCACTAGATCATATTCCATATACGTCTTTGCTCACATGATTTTCTTAGCCTTGTCTCCATTTTAATATCACATTTGATATATTTAAAATGATGAAAGCAGTATATTTATAAATCATGATTTACCAATAATGAACATTATTTGCTCCTCTTTGGGTCCCTCTAGAGTTTTGCCTTCCCTGTAGCTGATCTTCTCATTCCCTTGGACTCATTTCTTATGTTTTATTTGGCTACATTTTGTTGATCTGCCATATGTTAACCCTACTCATTAATTAGCCTGCATACAATCTTGACCAAGTAAGTTCTTGAAGCAAGAATAATTTTCCATTTGTGTCTGGATCAATATAGCTTCAAACTGTATGGACTAGTCTCAGCAAACCCTCACTAAGCAATGTAGACAGTGATACTAGTCCCCTTACTCTCACATTTTCCTGCCATACAACATAAACAGAATAAATCATTGGTACATCTTCTAACCCATAATAATGTAAAACTATCAGTGTTAAATAGGAAGCCAGAGACTCTCCCTTATAATCACAGAGGTCTTAGAAAATCATTACTTCTAATCAGAGAATGTATTAAATATAGCCTTTTGTCTTTCTACTGGGCTGGAGTGATAGCACAGTGGTAGGGCATTTGCCTTGCGCACAGCCAGCCTGGCCGAGCCGGGTTCGATTCCTCCGCCCCTCTCGGAGAGCCTGGCAAGCTACCAATAGTATTCAATATGCCAAACACAGTAACAAGAAGTCTTACAATGGAGACGTTACTGGGCCTGCTCGAGCAAATTGATGAACAATTGGAGGACAGTGTTTGTTTGTCTTTCTACTAGTACCTAAAGTATAAAACAATTTCAAGGTATTAAATTTTTTTTTCTTTTTGGGTCACACCCGGCGATGCTCAGGGGTTACTCCTGGCTCATGCACTCAGGAATCACTCCTGGCGGTGCTCGGGGGACCCTATGGGATGCTGGGAATTGAACCTGTGTCGGCCATGTTGGCTGCATGCAAGGCAAACGCCCTACCCGCTGTGCTATCGCTCCAGCCCCATCAAGGTATTAAATTTTGAATAAAAGCTTGAATTTGCTTCCTTTATAGCAATATCACATAATAGGAATGTTTATCTGCTATAATTCACACTTTTAACAGAAAACATATCTTTCAAAAATATATATACCAATCATAAGCAAAAATTCAGAATTCCACTCATACAGAATCCAAATAAACTGAATATAAAATAATAAAGAAATACTAGTATTACTAGTAATTTGTCTGCATGAATCTGTTGGATATTATTGGTAAATTTAGGGAACAAATTGATAGAACTAAATTGGACATGAAAAAAAAACCTTGCCCTTTAATCTTTAATTCTATCAGCAATCACTTAACTCTGATCATAGCTAC